ATGGGCAACTGCAATACTATACTTAACATCTTGTACATGCAAATGGTAGGAAGCTTAATGTACTTAACATCTACCAGACCTGACATCATGTTTTCTATTAGTTTTCTTTGTAGGTACTTGGCTAAGCCTACAAAAATCCATTTCAAGCCATTAAAAGGGTGTTTCGTTACATAAAAGAGACACTCACATATGAATTTTTTCTACAGGCAAGATGGTAATATTGAACTTACTACCTACACTAACAATGATTATGTAGGAGATTTAAAGGATAGAAAAAGTATATCAGGTTATTCATTTTTTTGCTAAGTTCAAGAGCTATTTCATGGTCATCAAAGAAGCAACTCGTAGTCACATTCTCCACTACTGAAGCTGAATTCATTGGTGCTGCAGCTTGTGCTTGTCAAGCCATATGGTTGAGAAGGATGCTGGAAAAACTCGATCATATCCCAGTTGAAGCTACAATAGTGTACTGTGATAATAGGTCCACTATTAAGCTGACCAGAAATCTAGTCTTGCATGGTCGAAACAAATACATTGATGTTCGTTTCCACTTCCTCCGTGATTTAAGTAAAGATGGAACTATGATATTTCAACACTATCACACTAAATAGCAAGTGGCTGATATCATGACAAAGTCTTTGACTCGAGTTGTGTTTGAGAAACTATGCATGTTGCTTGGTGTTTGTCAAGATCCTCAAGTTTAATTTAAAGACTACATCATCAGTTTAAGGGAGGGAATGTTGCAAAAGTTTTAGTTGCTATTTTTATGTTTTAGTAATCTTGAATATCAGGTCACTGCTACTGGTCTTATGCTGCAATCTTTGTTTTGGCATGATATTCTGCTTTCCGTTAGGATTTTATTTTTCTTTTTTTGTTAAGCATTGTACTAACTATAAATATAGTCATTTTTCACATAATAAAGAACTGAATTTCCTTTCTTCTACAAACTTTTCTTCTAATTCTGCATTAAATTTATCATTTAGTATCAGAGCCTTATCACTTTCAGCTGCAACTCATTGAAGCATGTTAGTGGAGAACTTTCTTCGCTCTAAAGAATATTGGCTAGTAGTTGAGTCTGGGATTTCTGGTGTAGCAGATGATGTTGATTACTCAGATGAAGAGAAGAAGGAGGTAGTAGATCAGAAATTGAATGACTTAAGAGCTTAGAACTACCTTTTCCAGGCCATCTATCACTCAATTCTGGAGACTATTTTGGATAAAGAAGCTTTGAAAGAAATTTGGGATTCAATGAAGAAAATATTTCAAGGAAATACAAAGTTGGAACGAGCGCAACTACATGCTTTCCTCAAGGATTTTGAGACCCTTTATATGAAGGAAGGTGAGGTTGTTTCTGATTTCTTTTCTCGTACTCTCAAAATTGCTAATAAAATGCATTTCATGCTGAAAAGATGAGTGATGTTAGAATTATTGAGAAAATCTTTCGCTCCATGACTTCAAAGTTTGATTACTTGGCTTGTTCCATTGAAGAATCTAACCATTTGGACATCATGACCTTTGATGAATTGCAGAGTAGTCTATTGGTTCATGAAAATCGTATGCAATGACATATTGTGGAAGAGTAGACATTGAAGATCGCTCTTGACAATAGTACAGGGAGAACAAATCGTGGAGGTGACACATCTCGAGGTAGGACGTGACACACCAAGTTTTAACAACATTCTTGTTGAGTGTTTTTATTGTCATGACCTTGGTCATTCTTAGTATGAATGTCTCAAGAAGAATGAGGGAAAGAAATCACAAGCTCATTTTGCTGAAAGAGTTATGAACCGCTCCGCTGCTTCTCATAGCATATGTTTAAGAGATTGTAGAACAAAAGGAGGACTCAACAAGTTGTTTGTCTACAAAAGTATTGCTTTTTATGGCATATGTTGAAAAAGCAATAGACCAAACTGCATGGTTCATAAATTCAGGTTGCAATAACCACATGTGCAGATATAAAAAATTCTTTTCAGAACTAGATGAAGACTTTCGTAAGTTTGTAAAGCTAGGTGACAACTTCAACATTCGTGTGACAAGAAAAGAATGCATTCAGATCCAAGTTATAACGTCTCCCAGGTTATCACAAAGGTATATTTATGTTCCTGAATTGAAAATAACCTCTTTGAGCATTGATTAACGGAAGGAGAAAGGCTTGACTATCATATTTCGTGAAAATAGGTGTAAGGTGTATCACCGTGAGAGAGGTCTTATCATTGAGACAAACATGTCTATAAAAAGGATGTTTATCCTTCTCGCCAAGATTCAATCTTAGAAGTATCAATGTTTTCACACGCACACAATTGGGAGAATCTCTGGCACTACCGGTATGGTCACCTCAGTTTTGAGGCCTCAAACCTCTAAAACAGAAGCAGATAGTTCATGGCTTTCCCGAACTTGTATGTTCTATTTTATTATGCTAAGATTGTTTGTTGGGAAAGCAAAATAGAAACCATTTCCACGAGAAAGTATGTGGAGAGCGTCAAAGCAACTTCAACTTCTTCTTTCAAACCTATGTGGTCCAATTTCACGTGTGTCAAACAGCCGCAAAAGGTATATTCCAACATTTATTGATGATTTTAGAAGAAAATTATGGGTGTTTTCTTAATAGAAAAATCAGAAGCCTTCAGAATGTTCCAACTCGTCGGGATCATGAACTTAGAATGATCCAACTCGTTCTAATTAGAGTGATCCTGAAGAGTTCTAAAGCCTTAAGAGAGGGAATGTTGCAAAAGTTTTAGTGTTTTATGGAGGAGCTTTGGAGGATAGAAAAATTATGGGTATTTTTACGTCACATGAACTGTTTCATGATCCGGATGACTTCAAGGGGGTGATGTGTATGAACGTTAAAGGCGTCTCATTAGGCATAAAGCACGTGACGCGTGTAATGATACCCAGAGCTACCTGCTGCATAATTTCGACGGCTAGCGTGGCAGGCGTTTCAGGAGGAATGGGTCCACACGCCTACACAATATCCAAACATGCCATTGTCGGCCTCATTAAGAACACTGCTTGCGAACTTGGCCGCTATGGTATACGTGTCAACTGCATTTTGCCGTTCAAAGTTGCCTCGTTGATGCTCGTTAACGCGTGGAGGGATGACGGAAATGAGTGCATGAACTTCGGGATTCCATCGCCGGATGAGGTGCACAAAAGGGAGGAGTTCCTGAGGGGTTTGACTGGTAAGGACCTCATAATAAATCCTTTTGGGGAAGCACAAAGCAAAGACATGAGAGGTTAGGTTCAGAGTGGACAATATCATAACATTGGTATGAAGATCTGTGATTCCTAATCGTTACAACATGTTAGAAAATTCATTAAATTTACTAATACAAGCATAGTGGTTAAAAGTTATTTAAAATTTTAATTTCATCTACAGTGAGTAAGATTGACCTATCATACTATATTTAAATACAAATAAAGAATAGAGATTAGATTGAAAAGTTAAAAAGGATAGAAACCTTTTAAGGTTATCAATTTTATTATTAATAGATCATAAAAATTCATCTATAATTTCAAGGTTAGAGTGGCATGGGTGGAATTGACGAAGAAAGCCTTCCCAACACATCTTTTGTAGAATTTCATAGAGTTTGACTTATAAACTTTAAAAACTGGATAATCGAACCAACCTGTAAAATTAAGAGTACACTTCTTTCTTATGACTTTGACGAAAACGCAACAACTCAAGCCAATTCCTCCTTACTAAGATTGAAGTAATCATTATAGAGTTGCACTTGGCATTTTGCACTCTTCATTAGATTCAAGCACGGTCTTAAATAGTAAACTCTATCTTCGTCTAGCCACCTGTCCCATATCGATGAATTGTAGTCATCATCTTCCCTTGTAACTTGAACAAAGCCTTGTAAATTTACTACTAACAAGAGGACCACAAGTGTGCTAGTTTCTTTTGCCATGGTTGAATTGAAAACTATTTACCTTACCAAAGTCAAGTATAGTAGCTATTTATCGAAACATTTCAATCAAGAAAATCTAGTGTAACATAAATAATTTACAAGGAGTTATTCATTTTGGGAGTTGGATAAAGAAGATTTAATTCTACCATAGGAGAGATTAAAATATAAATGGCATTAAGTTTGTAACCTCCCTCTTACCTTTGCACTTTTTGTAATGCTTTAATATATAGGAGTATTAAAATAAATTAAATAATTTAAATAAATGAAAATTTTATAGGTTGGATTAGTTGATTGATGTGTTTTTCTAAAATTAGATTAGTAAAACTAAACTAACTCAAACTTATTGTTAGTCGTAAATGAATTGAAGGAGTAATTCTAATGAAAATTCATGAATAAAAAACTTCTCCCCCGCTTAAATCATGAATATTTAGGACTTTCATTCAAGAGAGTTTGTGAGCCAATATTAGAAAATAAATGTAGTGAAAATATTTATGAAAATTTCTTTGGTTAAATTTTTCGTATCCGTAGTAGATGATAACACACTCTTGATTTTGGCTACCAAAACAGAAAGGGAGAAGTTTTCATTCCGTCTTTGAGAATTTCTCTATCTAACAAATATAAGTGATGGTATAAGGCCTTCTATGAATATTGTTGGAGTGTAATCAAACTGCACATTTGCTAGGTCAGAAGAAAGTCATGAGTAAATAAGTGATGGACATTATTTACATTAGTATGAGATATTTTAGGTGAAACTAAAAAGTAAAGTCAATTTTATGATTATAGATATGGATGGTTTTAGTACCCCTAAAAAGTGATATCAAAGGTGTGTTTCTGACTTAGCCTTGTATGTGTGCCTTGATGACATAGCTATAGTGATTCGTGGTTGAGATAATTAGATAGGAATGTTTTCTGATAAAGGGAATTTGACTTAGTTAAAATTGATTACTTGAGAGCAAGCATAAATGAATGTGAAACGGTATAAAGAAAAATATATATGTAATCGCCAGAAAACTCGAGAATTCTGGTGAGGCACCGAAATGGACAACGCACACTACTTAAGTGCGACTGACGACTCGAAACTCACCATAGAAGGCCTCATACCAATGGAGATGTATTTCCTTACTTATAAATCCATGATCATCCTTAAATTAGCCAATGTGAGACTCCCTCTCAACAATCCTCTCCTTGAACAAAGTATACTATACACTAAAAGGATACACATACCAGCATGTATGAACACTAAATGATTGATCCTTGCTCTAGTGGCTCAAAAGAGGTGGATTGTGTTTCAATTGGATGTTAAATCAGCATTTCTACGTGGAGAGTTGGATGATGAGGTTTATGTGGCACAACCTCTTGGTTATGTGATAAAGGCTTTATACGGTTTGAAGCAAGCTCCACGTGCGTGGTACAACAGTATTGAAACTTATTTTCTAAAGGGAGGCTTTGAAAAGTGTCCTTATGAACCTACTCTGTTTTTCAAAAAGTCATTACAAGGTACTTTCTTGCTTGTATGTCTTTATGTAGATGACCTCATATTTACTCGAAACGACGAGGCTTTGTTGAGTTCTGTTAAGGAATCCATGATGAAGACATTTTATATGACTGATCTTGGACGAATGCGATATTTTCTTGGCTTAGAAGTGTCACAATGAGCTTATGGGATTTTCATTTGTCAAAAGAAGTATACCTAGGATGTATTGGATAGATTTAATATGGCCCACAATGCTGCATATAATCCTTTTGTACTTGGATTAAAGTTTGTTACAGATTCTACTAGCTTGTCTGCCAACAACACCCTGTACATGCAAATGGTAGGAAGCTTAATGTACTTAACATCTACCAGACCTGACATCATGTTTTCTGTTAGTTTTCTTAGTATGTACTTGACTAAGCCTAAATAAATCCATTTACAAGCCATTAAAAGAGTGTTTCGTTACCTAAAAGAGACACTCACATATGATATTTTCTACAAGCAAGATGGTAATACTGAGCTTACTACCTACACTGACAATGATTATGTAGGAGATTTGAAGGATAGAAAAGGTACATAAGGTTATTCATTTTTTGCTAAGTTCAGGAGCTGTTTCATGGTCATAAAAGAAGCAACCCGTAGTCACACTCTCCACTACTAATGCTGAATTCATTGGCACTACAACTTGTGCTTGCCAAGCCATATGGTTGAGAAGGATGCTGGAAAAACTCGATCACATCCCAATTGGAGTTGCAGTGGTGTACTGTGATAATAGGTCCACTATTAAGCTGACTAGAAATCTAGTCTTGCACGGTCAAAGCAAATACATTGGTGTTCATTTCCACTTCCTCATGATTTAAGTAAAGATAGAACTGTGATATTACGACATTGACACACTAAAGAGCAAGTGGCTGATATCATGACAAAATCTTTGACTCTAGTTATGTAGTCTTGGTGTCTGTCAAGTTCCTGACTCGATCATCCGTTTAAGGGAGGAATGTTGCAAAAGTTTTAGTTGCTATTTTTATTTTTTTTTGTAATCCTAAATATCAGTCACTGCTATGGTCTTGCAATCTTTGTTTTGGCATGATATTCATCCTTTGTTAGGATTTTATTTTTCTTTTTTTTGTTAAGCATTGTACTATAAATATATTCATTTTTCACATAATATATGAGTTTCCTTCCTTCATCAAACTTATGTTCTAATAATGCATTAAATTTATCATTTGGTATCAAAGTCTTATCTTTATCAGATACAACTAAAGATGACTACTAAAAACAGGTTTGTTCAACCAGCAATTCCAAAATTTGTTCGTCACTACGATCATTGGAGCATGTTAATGGAGAACTTTCTTCGATCTAAAGTTAAATAGTTGAGTCTGGGATCTTTGCTGTAGCAGATGATGCTGATTACTGAGATGAAGAGGAGGTAGCAAATCGGAAATTGAAAGACTTAAGAGCTTAGAAATACATTTTCTCGGCCATCGATCGCTCAATTCTGGAGACTATTTTGGATAAAGAAAATTGGGATTCAATGAAGAAAAAATTTCAAGGAAATACAAAGTTGAAATGAGCACAACTACAGGCTCTCCGCAAGGACCTTGAGATCCTTCATATGAAGGAAGGTGAGGTTGTTTCTGACTTCCTTTCTCGTACTCTCACAATTGCTAATAAAATACATTTTCATGCTGAAAAGATGAGTGATGTTAGCATTATTGAGAAAATCCTTCGCTTCATGACTTCAAAGTTTGATTACGTGGCTTGCTCTATTGAAGAATCCAATGATTTGGAGATCATGACCATTGACGAATTGCAGAGTAGTCTACTAGTTCATGAAGAACGTATGCAATAACTTATTGTGGAAGAGCAGGCATTGAAGCTCGCTCTTGACAGTAGTACAAGGAGAACAAATTGTGAGGTGGCACATTTCAAGGTAGAGGACGAGGACGTGGGACATTAGGTAACAAAAGTTTTGTTGAGTGTTTTTATTGTCATGACCTTGGTCATTTTCAGTATGAATGTTCCAAGAAGTACGAGGGAAAGGAATCACAAGTTCATTTGACTGAAACTTCTGAACCGCTGCTTCTAATGACATATGTTGAAGTGATGGTAGAACAAAAGGAGGACTCAACAGGTTGTTTGTCTGAAATTGAAGCTCCAAAAGCTGTAATAACAAAAGAATGATTATTTATGATTCTTAGATTCAGACTGCAACAACCACACATGCGAATATAAAGAATTCTTTTCAAAACTAGATGAAGGCTTTCACAAGTTTGTAAAGCTAGGTGACAACTCCAACGTTGGTGTGACAGGAAAAGAATGCATTCATCTCCAAGTTAATAACATCTCCCACGTTATCACAGAGATATTTTATGTTAGATAAAAGATTGTTTTTTTCTTTTCCTTAGGTTATTCATGTTTTCATTAATTAGAGGGTTATTTGAATTAACGAAATACAGGTAGAGTGGGAGAGAGTATTTTTAGCTGGCCATTTCAGCATCTTTAGCCCCAAGATTTGTTGGCCAATTTGGCCATTTTTAGATGATAGGTTGTTTTAAATAGTCCCATCAATGAGAAACATTCTCAGTGTTTTTTCCAGCAGAATCAAATCTCAAAGTTTCTTCAGCTTTTCTGTTTTCCTTTCCTTCAAACAAAGTTTCTTGGTCAGTTTTTATTGATTTTTTCACGAGATGAATTGCTCAGTCAAAAGACAATCATTTTATGTTTCTCAATCGAAAATTAACCTCTTAATCATTGGTCAATTGAAGAAAGGCTTGACTACCCTTCACTGTGAGAGAGATCTTATCAAAGACAAGCATATCTATAAATAGGATGTTTATCCTTCTTACCAAGATTCAATCTTAGAGGATCAATGTTTTCACACTCCTGCACATAATTTGGAGAATCTTTGGCACTACCGGTATGGTCACCTAAATTTGGGAGGTCTCAAAACTCTAAAACAGATGTAGATGGTTCATGGCTTGTGAGAACTTGTATGTTCTAATTTATTATGTGAAGATTGTCCGTTGGGAAAGTAAAATAAAAGACAATTTCCACGAGAAAGTATGTGGAGAGCATCAAAGCCACTTCAACTATATATGTGGTTGAATTTCACCTATGTCAAACAACCACAAAAGGTATATTCCAACTTTATTGATGATTTCAGCAGAAAATTATGGGTGTTTTTCTTAATAAAAAAATTAGAAGCCTTCAGAATGTTCCAACTCGTCGGAATCATGAACTTAGAATGTTCCAACTCGTTCTGATTAGAGTGATCCTGATGAGTTCTGAAGCCTTAAGGGAGGGAATGTTGCAAAAGTTTTAGTGTTTTATGTAGGAGATTTGGAGGATAGAAAAATTATGGGTAGTTTTACGTCACAGGAGCTGTATCATGATCCCGACGACTTCAATCTGGTGATGTGTGTGAACGTCAAAGGCATCGCATTAGGCATAAAGCACGCGACGTGTGTGATGATACCCAAAGCTCCCAGTTGCATAATCTCGACTGCTAGCGTGGCAAGCGTTTCAGAAGGAATGGGTCCACACGCCTACACAACATCCAAACATGCCATTGTCGGCCTCACTAAGAACACTGTCTGCGAACTTGGCCGCTATGGTATACGTGTCAACTGCATTTCGCCGTTCGGAGTTGCCACGTTGATGCTTGTGAACGCGTGGAGGGATGACAAAAACGAGTTTATGAACTTCGGGATTCCGTCGCCGGCTGAGGTGGACCAAATAGAGGAGTTCATTAGGGGTTTGGACAATCTTAAGGACCCCAATGAAGCCTTTTGGGGAACCCAAAGCAAAGCCATGAGAATTTATGTTCGGAATGGACAATATCATAGCATTAGTGTGGAGATCTATAATTTCTAACCGTTACAACATGTTTGAAAATTCATTAAATTTACCAATATAAGCATCTAAAGTGGTTAAACGTTGTTATTTAAGATTTTAATTTTATCTTCCGTGAGTAAGATTGAGATCATATTCTATTTAAATATAAATAAAAACAAGAGATTAAATTGAAAAATTAAAAAGATAGAAACTTTTAAGGTTATCAAGTTTATTATTAATAAATCATAAGAATTAATCTATCATTTCAAGATTATAGTGGCACAGGTGGAATGGACGAAGAAAGCCTTGCAATACATCTTTTGTAGAGCTTCATAGGGTTAGGCTTATAAATTTCAAAAATTGGATAGTCAAACCAACCCACAAAGTTAAGAGTACACTTCTTTCCCATGACTTTGACGAAAACGCAACAATTCAAGTCCAATTCCTCTTTACTAAGATTGAAGTAATTATTATAGAGTTGCACTTGACATTTCGCACTCTTCATTAGATTCAAGCACGGTCTTAAATAGTAAGCTCTATCTTCGTCTAGCCACCTGTCCCATATCGGTGAATTGTAGTCATCATCTGCCCTTGTAACTCCAATAAAGCCCTGCAAATTGACTGCTAACAAAAGGACCACCATTGCTCCAAGTGTGCTAGCTTCTTTTGCCATGGTTGAATTTTAAACTATTTACCTTTGCGCTGTTTATTTATAGAACATTTCAATCAAAAAAGAACATTAGTGTAACATAAATAACTTACATCCATATTTATTAAAGGAGTTATTCATTTTGGGAGTTTGGTAAACAAGATTTAATTCTACCACAGGAAAGATGGTTAAAATATAAATGACATTAAGTTTGTAACCTCCATCTTACATTTGCACTTTTTGTAATGTTTTAATAAGCAGGGGTGTTAAAAAAATTAAATGATTATAAAAAAAAAAAAAAAACTCAAATCTAATCCTAAGATTCAAATGAATAAAAATTTTATAGATTAGATGGTTTATGTGTTTTTCTAAAATTAGATGGAATGGAACTGAAATAATTTTAAATGAATTGAATGACTAATCCTAATGAAAATTCATAAGTAAAATATATAATCACCAGATAAGTTTGAGCTAAATAGCTCAAATCATGAATATTTAGGAGTTGGTGAGAGTTCTTGAGGACTTTCATTTATTAGAGATTGTGAGCCAAATTTAGAAAAGAAAGGTTGTGAAAATTGATTTCAATCCCTAGAGTTTTAAATGGTAACTTTAGGATTTTATGGAAATTTCTTTGATTTTAGATGATTATTACTCCATTAGATTTGTCTGGATGAGTTTTATAACTTTGGTTAAGGAATCCTAAACCATTGTAGATGAGAACACACTCTTAATTTCGACAACAAAAACGGAAAGGGAGAAGTTTTCATTCCGTCTTTGAGAATTTTCTCTTCAACAAATATAAGTGATGATATAAGGCTTTCTACTTTGTATAAATATTGTTGGAATGTAATCAATTCGCACCTTTGATAGGACAAAAGAAGATCTTGGGTAAATAAGTGAAGCCAATTTTATGATTATGGATAAATAGTATGGGATATTTTCAACCAACCCACGATCCCTACGAAGACCACACTCCCTCAACCCGCCAACCAACTGAACACTAAACCTCTTGCTATTTGGGAGTTTGCTATTTGGGAGTAACACAACATAGAGAGAAGGAAATTCAACGAAAACCTTTCTCGGAGCACGACGTCGGCGAGACAGAGAGATTCAATCTTGCGCTGTAATGGACAACACCCGCTGCTTAATTGGAGAACGACGACTCGGAACACACCACAGTAAGCCTAACGTCTTTCTATAATGATTTTCCGTAGTCACATCACTGATGAGGAGTTTATTTTCAAATAAATGGTGATGTCGTGCTTCTCTATTAAGTTACACGAATGCACCCATTGCTTCGGGTGTGAAGGAGAATTGGATAGAGACTTAAGGTTGTGGGATCTTAAGCGAAGGGACGAGAAAATGAGACAAAAGGCCTAAGGAAGAGAGAAAAAATTGAAGAAGCAAACTGCGTAATTAAAAATTCATAATCATTCCCTAAATTTGCCAATGTGGGACTCCCTCTCAACAATCCTTCCGTCGAACAAAGTACACTATAGAGCCTCCCTTGAGGCCTATGGATCCCTCGAACAACGTCCCCTTAATCGAAGCTTTGTTCAACACTTTAGTCACTTTTGACTACACCATCAAGGCTTACAGTTGTTTGTTCGATATTAGAGGATTCTATTGACATGACTAAGTTTAAGGCATGACTCTGATACCATGTTAGAAATCACAGATTTCTCCAATTGTATAATATTGAACACTTTGAGCATAAGCTCCTCGTGGCTTTACTTTGTGCTTCCCCAAAAGGCCTCATACCAATGAAGATACACATAGCAGCATAGCGTGGACTTATAGACCCATGATCAATCCCTAAATTAGCCAATGTGGGACTCCCTCTCAACAATCCTCCCCTCGAACAAAGTATACTATACACTAAAGGATACACATAGCAGCATGGCGTGGACTACACAGAACACTTTGCCCCTATAGCTTGTATAAACACTATACGATTGATACTTGCTCTAGCAGTTCAAAAGAGGTGGATTGTGTTTCAATTGGATGCTAAATCAACATTTCTTCATGGAGAGTTGGATGAGGAGGTTTATGTGACACAACCTCTTGATTATGTGATCAAGGGAAGAGAATAGAGTACATGACTTGAAAAAGGCTTTATATGGTTTGAACACAGCTCCACGTGCGTGGTACAACCATATTGAAACATATTTTCTAAAGAAAGACTTTGAAAAGTGTCCTTACAAACACACTCTGTTTTTTCAAAAAGATTTAATTCTACCACACAGAAGAGGTTAAAATATAAATTACATTAAGTTTGTAACCTCCATCGTAAGTTTGCACTTTTTGTGATGTTTTAATACCTAGGGGTGTTAAAAAATGAATTAAAAAAACTCCCACCTAATCCTACTTTCATTAAAATAAAAAATAAAAAATTTATGGATTGTTGGTTAATGTGTATTTCTAGAACTAGATTGTGTGAAACTAAAGGATTTTATGGAAATTTCTTTGGTTAAATTTTTCCTGTATAATCAACTATTTTTTTATGATTCTTACTCTATTAGTTTGGTTGATGAGTTTTATAGCTTTAGTTAAGGAATCATAAACAATCATAGAAGAGAACACATTCTTGATTTTGATGGCAAAAAAATGGAAAGGGAATAGTTTTCATTCTGTCTTTGAGAATTTCTCTCTTCAACAAATATAAGTGATGATATAAGGTTTTCTACTTTGAATGAATATTGTTGGAGTGTAATCAAATAGCACATTTGCTAGGACAAAAGAAGATCATGGATAAATAAGTGATGGACATTATCTCCATTAGTATGAGATATTTTGGGTGAAACTAAAAATAAAACTAATTTTATGATTATGGATATGGATGGTTTTTGTGCCCCTAAAATGTGATATCAATAGCATGTCCCTGACTTAGCCATGTATATGTGCCTCGATGACATAGTTATAGTGACTTATGGTTGAACTAATTAGATCGGGGTGTGTTCTGGTAAAGGGAATTGACTTGGTTAAAAGTGATTACTCTAGAGCAAGCATAAATGAACGTGACTCATGGTGGAGATAATTAGACATGGAGTGCGTTCTTCTAAAGGAAATTGACCTGGCTAAAGTGATTATTCAAGAGTAAACACAAATGAATGACTATTTTGAGGAAAGATTTGGTGGTTTAGGTTCCGTAGAAAAATTACTATAGAGCTACAAAAGTCCAAGATTTGATTAGGAAACGAGAAAATCATGGGTATATAAGTTGGGAATAATATGTCCATAAATATGAAGCCATTTGGATGATTCAAAAAATAAAACTAGGAGAGCTTTTATTTAAAGTGGACAATATCATGTCATTATTGAGATCTGTAGAGGGTTATTTATCCCTACCAATTGATATTATAATCATGCTCCTAAATTAACTGTAAGGATATAGCCATAGTGAGATGTGGTCGAGCTAATTAGATAGCGAATATGATATGGTGAAAGGAAGATGGCCTAGTTAAAAGTGACTATTCTAAGGTAAGCATTGAAAGATGACTATTTGAGGGGTAACTTGGTGGTCCTTCATTAAGGTGAGAATTGTTGGTGTGTAAGACCAAGATTATAGTAAATTAAAGGGTGAAACAAAAAGTAAAGTTATAAGAACTTAAGTTAAAAAAAAATAATATAGTATCATTGTGGAGCCATCTGAAAGGTTCGATGTCTCTAACATATATCTTCGATAAAATGTTGAATGTTTTTTTTTTTTGGACCTTAAATGGAGTAAAGTAACATAGGATTAAGTAATAATACTAATCATTGTTTACTTACTAGAAGATGAAGCCCTAAAGAAATATGATGTCATTGTTTAAAGAGACTATATTTGTTACCGTACGAAAAAAAGAAGGTCGAACGAATAAGAGATAAAATTGGTACACTTGGTTATTTTCAATTTCACTCTTTAAAAAAGTGTTTTCAGCTAAGGGAAAAGGCGTGTAGAGACTCTGACAGAAGAGACTATTTGTTGTCACGAGAGACGGTCGACATGTTTTATTTATATTTCACATTATTCTAATAATTCATTCTTAAGTTACCTAGACCATTCTCGTAACTATTTGCAAACTCGGTACATTATTTATGATTTTTTTTAATTGAGTGTTCTTGTGATTGATTTTAAAGGTTACTGTACAAAATTTGACTGGTATATGTTAAAATGTATGAGTTTGCGAGATACATGTATTCATGTGATTTAAAATGATATAAATATATATAGTAACAAACTCGAATTTGTCCAGAATGGTAGAAATTCGAGCCGTTACTTCAGTTCCAAAATTCATTAAATTCACCGATATAAGCATCTACCATCCTTAAAGTGGTTAAAAGTTATTATTTAAGATTTAATTTTATTAATAGTGAGTAAGATTGAGATCATATTCTATTTAAATACAATTAAAGACAATAGATAGAAACCTTTTAAGGTTATTAAGTTTATTATAAATAGATCAGGTGAATTCATCTATAATTTCAAGGTATTGAAGAAAGTCTTGCAACACAACTTTTGTAGAGCTTCATAGGGTTAGGCTTATAAACTTCAAGTGATGGATATTCGAAACAACCTGCAAAGTGGCGTGCACACTTCTTTCCCATGACTTTGACGAAAACGCAGCAATTTAAGTCCACTTTTTTCTTTCTAATATTGAAGTAATTATTGTAGAGTTGCACTTGACATTTAGCACTCTTCATTAGATTCAAGCATGGTCTTAAATATGGAGCTCTACCTTCGTCTAGCCACCGGTCCCATATCGGTGAATTGTAGTCATTATCTGCTTTTGTAAGTCGAACAAAGCCTTGCAAATTTACTACTAACAAAAGGACCACCAATGCTCCGATGATGCAAGTTTCTTTTGCCATTGTTGAATTTAAAACTATTTACCTTACCAAAGTCTAGTACCTTGACTATTTATAACAATATTTCAATGAAGAAAGAACATTGGTCTATAAATAACTTACATGCATATTTATTAAAGGAGTTATTCATTTTGGGAGTTAAGTAAACAAGCTTTAATTCTACCTGTGAGAGATTAAAATTGAAATAAAATTGAAATGACTTTAAATTTGTAACCTCCCTCTTAAAAATACATGAATACATGAAGAAAATTAAACCAGCGTTAAAGAAAATTAATAGCGACCCAATTGGACTGCAGGTGATGAGAGGGAAGAAGATAAACGGTAATTCCCATATATTTATATGAGTAGGTTAGAATGTGGGAGACTAGTTTTACTATTGGAAATTGTTAGGGTAAGTACTTGTATTAGAAAAGTTGGTTTATCTAGGGTAGTGTCTTAAGAACATATGATATGAAGTGCCATCAGATTGCTATGCTGAGAATGTTTAGAGGATCACAACTACCTTTGTGAAATAAACTTGTTGAAGAGGATATGGCTCCAGTATCAATGGGCACAAAAGTTGCTCCACGTCATAATTGCACTTTTTTCCGTAGTGGACTAGCGATTGTGCAGTGGTTGTTCTAACCATGTGAATAAGTTAATCGTGTCAAAATCTAATTTCACGGATAATTCTTGTGTATGGTCGAGCCTCGAGCTAAGTTTTGAGAGACAATGTTTTAGAAAACGGAGGCGTGGAAAATCATTTAAAACATGTTGGAAGTAAGTACTGTGAAAGTCAATTGCATTGAAAACATGTAGGTAAGAGAGATTAGAATACTTGGTCGTGGGAGGTTTGATGAATACTTGGTCCACCTCTAGTACTTTTTGATTTCGGGGAATAGTCATACAACATAAATAAACTTAAGAAAGTAATACAATATGAAAGCAAGTAAAGGGGTTTGGCGTGTCATGGGCATGCACCATGGGTAACAAGTCCAAGACGAGCATGACCATAACATCCTCTCCCACCTAAATGGTTGATGTCCCTATCAATTGTCTATGTTCAAAATTTTCAATATGGGTCCTCGCCGAATTAAGATCTTTGGCACTTTACTAGCTAATTTCTTTTTTAGGAAGGTGTTTTCATTTGACCAAGAATTCTCAAACAATTGTCTTTAGATTTTCCTGACTCTTTCAACTAGGATAGTTTCGACTTCTTTGGTTTCCATTTGTTTGAGGTCGATTTGAGGTCTCGTGGCAATGTTGCGGCTGATATCATTCGAAATAGGGTGTTAAGGCTTCAGGTTGTTCACATGGATTACATGGTGAATTTTCATCCTTGTGGGCAGTGTTATCATGTAAGATGTAGCCTGACCTTTTAAAGGATTTCAAACGGTCCTTCATTTTTCTTGATGAGTTTTTGGTCTTTTTGGCTTCGGAATTGTTTGATGAGTACTTGATCTCCAACTCACAACTTGAGGGAACGACACTTTTTATTCGCCTACTTTTTCATATGTTTAGAAGCTTTCTCTAAATAAGCTTGGGTTATGTCTGTTGTTTGTTTCCATTCTTTCGTGAAGTTCTGGGATTACAGGTTCTTCACTACATGCGGTTGGTCAATAATGTGGGACAGGGATGGTTGCCATCCACTTACCATTTCAAAAGGATTCTTACCTGTAGAGGAGCTTATCTGGGAGTTGAAGTAGAATTAGGCGACATCAAGTAACTCTGCCCAATTTTTCTGATAGTAGTCGAAAAAGTGTCACAAGTACTCTTCTAGCAAGTAGTTGAATCTCTCAATTTGTTCATTTGCCTTGGATGGTAGCTCGATAAGATGTTCAGGGTTTTCACCAAGAATCCAAACAATTTTGTCCAAAAGGTTCCTATAAATCGACAGTATCTGTCACCAACAATACTCGTTTAAATGCCCCATAACTTCACCACGTGTCTGAAGAATAACTGGGTTGTCAGTTCGGCTAAGCATTGCTTGGGTGTGGCATACTTCAAAAATGGGTCAAAGATAACTAAGATTGCTTCATGTTCTCCTACATTGTGAATGTGTGATGAAATAAAGTGACACACTTTTCTAAGGCCTCGTTGATGTCGACAAGAGTTCGAGGAGTCATGAGACTTTGGTTTTCTCTACCTTATCTTGTTGGAAAATAAGGCACTTCTTGGTATATTGCATGATTTCATCTCTCATGTTCAGCCAAAAGTATCCCTTCTTTAACAAAGTGAACAATATCATAATATTGTGGAGATATGTATTGGCTCATTATCCAAACTAATTGGTATTACAATCATGCTCCTAACTTAACCATAATGATATAGGTATATTGAGATGCGGTTAAGCTAATCAGATAATGATTATGCTATGGTGAAATAAAGTTTATCTAGTTAAAAGTGACTACTCGAGGGTAAATATTGAAAGATGACTATTAGAGAGGAGACTTTGTGATCCTTCCTTCGAGGTGAGAATTGTTGTTGTGTGACCAAAGTTCTATATTGAATAAGAAAGGAGAGGATCATAGTAAAATAAGTGGTAGACATTATCTCCAATACTACGGACATTTTCAGTGGATTGAACCAAAAGTAAAGTCATAAGAGCTTATATCCAAAACAAAGAGACATATATCCAAAACAAAGAGACATGTGAAAGGTTAGTTATCTCTAACATTTATCTTTTTTTAAAAAAAAAAAATTGAATGTTATTTTTAGACTTTAAATAGAGTAAAGTATGGTAGGATTAAGTAATAATATTAACCATTGTTCGAAGATGAAGCCCTAAAGGAATATGATGTCATTGTTTAAAGAGACTCCATTTGTGACCTAATGAAAAAAGAAGTGGAAAGAATAAGAGATAAAATTGGTACACTTTGTTGGTTATTTTCAATATCCACTCTTAAAAAAAGTATTTTCAGCTAACGAAAAGACCGATAGAGATTGTGATAGAAGGGACCATTTGTTGTCCGGAGATTCTGTTGGGATGTTTTATATGTATATCACATCCGGCTAATAATTCATTCTTAAGTTACCTAAACCTTTCTTATACACTATTTATAATTTTCGTATACACTATTTATAATTTTTTTTATTTTTTATTTTTTTTGTCTTTTTAATTTGGTGTTCTAGTGATTGATTTTAAAGGATACGCGTACCACGTTTGATTGTCATATGTGAAAATGTATGAGTTTGCAATATTAATGCTTTTATTCTTCTGCTTTAAAATGACTTAAATATATACAGTAATGAATTCGAGTCGTCTAGCATTGTAGAAATTCGAGCCTTAAATAATGTTTGAAACTTCATTAAATTCACAGAGATAAGCCTCTAAAATTTTCAAGTGATTAAAAGTCATTATTTAAGATTTTAATTGTAACGACCCGAAATTTTCTACTTAATTTAAGGTCGCTACTGTATACGTACCATAAACATTGAATGAGAAATACTTCATTTAAATTCCATAAAACATAACATTTATCTTAAAATACAGCCATGGACTTACATGTTTCGAAAACATCTTTAAAACGATACAACCAAAGACTAAATAAAATGAATAAGAGTTTAAGTTAAAAAACATCCTAGTCTAGCCCAAGTAAGAAAATAAATGCCACTACCCTATGCATGTGTCGTGGTCTCGAGTTGTGATGTCGTCGTCAGCCGTACAGAAATGCCTTGCCTTAACCTGAAAAATGTAGCAGCACGTGACTTGAGTATTTAAAGAAATACTCAGTAAGTGACTCTACTATTGGGGTTAAATGCAACAATCAAATGCAATGAATTGATGGGACCTATCTTTCGTTTCATTTCGTTTTCCCTACGGTGTTGTCCTAACGGGTAATTGTGGACGTGTACCATATACTCTACACACAGCCCATATATGCGAGTATGGGCTCACCAGCTAGTTCGAACACCGCTGAGCCACTTTCCTTATCCGGTGGGCATACTCTAGGAGCCCTTTATGCTGGGACTCGTTAAAACTAGTAACCGTCACGGCAGCGCTATGCAAAGCATAACGATCATTGTCCTGCCATTGGATGTATGTGTCCGTACCCTCGTGATGGGATAAGGGTATCCCCCAGATGCATGAACACACATAATGCATGAGGTCCCCACTACTTCTACATTTATCATTAATGAACATAACCCCTCTGTCACGTTCCATGCTTCATGTCCTCATTTTAAATTTACATTTCATACATATTCCTATTGGGGTTATGATTCCAGACAGTTTATCGTATTTCATGTCATACAATTCATGTTGTTTACATTCAAACATTCCATACAATCATGTCATAATCATTCAAGAACAACATATCGTTACATGCATTACACATCACATCAGACTAAACAACATACATAGCATAAACAGTCACATATTTCATATATCATATAATCATATCACATAATAAAACATGGTGCATGCAGGGGCCACAGGGCACGCACCATCATATAACACGTAGTAAAATATCTCCAACAATAAGGTCACTTACCTCAATGGCTTTGGTTGAAGTCACTCACAACAAGTTAATCCCAACGGTTAAATACATCCTATAATAACCACATAAAAACTTAGGAACCTTTCATAACACACCCTAGCTAAATCTCATGTCATTTATCAAAATAAACCCCGACCCAATCTGTCTTTAATAGTTAGGAACCATACTGACCTTGGATGGTAAAACTAAGGGAACAAACGGTTTCAGAAGGGACAAAAACCTTGGAATTAATATATTATAGTGATATTGAGCCGATAAGCCGAGCTGTTGAGCCGACCAAGTAAGTCGCCAAGCCAAGCTGCTGGAATTGACGGAACCGAGCCGATTTCGTACACGTGCAAGCCGAGTCGCACTGTGTATGCGTGCGAAGCTACCGGAGCTGTTGGGCATGCATCTGCGGCTCGACCCAATTCCAAAAACCTTGCCTTCCTTACCCGACAAGCTATGAAATCCTAGTTTTCGCCTCCTCAATTCCGGCGACGCGCCAACAATCTCACATCCTCAACATCGATTTTTGACGGTCAGCCTTCTTTGACACAATGATCCCGACATCAATACCTTACTTCCACTTGATTCTTCCTCCGAAGAGCAATCCCAACGTTTCGGAAGAAAGTTTGGAGAGAAAATCGTTTTCTAGGGATGTAAAAGGTTTGGCATAGGAATATAAAAATAATCTCAAGACATTTTCCAATAAGACATTCTAGGGTTTTAGGATAAGAAAACTTAGAGAAATATTAATGTTTCTATTAGGTATTAAAAATCTGACAGGAAATCTCTCGATTTCCGGGGAGATTACATTTAATTATTTATTTTATTTTTATTTTATTTTATTTTATTCGAGAAACACGAATCGTTACAAAATGAATAAATAACCTTTTGAAACCACTTTAAAGACTTTTGTCTTTGTTAGGTTGAACTACCATTATGGAATTTTCATGTTATAAGCTTTATTTTATTCAATTTTCATTTAATAATTTTTAATACAATGTTTTTAATAGTTGAACTAACCATTTGGACCTTTTGATGTGCCTTATTTATTTATTTTTTTTTTAATTTTCATTTAATAGCTTTTAACACAATTGAATTACAATTTTGGCCTATTTAAAAGCTTTTATTCAACTTGGATAATCATTTTTTAATATGAGTTCTTGTGTTTCAAGCATGTTATCTTTTCTTTTCAAATTTTGTTTTAGGTTTGAAGTTAAACATGTTTATTGGGTTAGTCTCGATCAAGCTAATTCCTGGACGAATCATCTTTAAATCTAAGATTAATCATCATAAATTTAAGGTCGATCTAAGACTTGTAGTGTCACAATTGCACTTTTGATGGCAACGAACTTGTGATTGTGCTGCACTCGCTTCCTAGCAATAAGCGAGTTAAGTCAATTCGTTCTTACATTGCCTACGGCCAAGTGACGTATGCTCAAGCTTCTGTCCCTGATTCAAGAAAAAAGTTTTAGAAAACGGGGGTAGAGAGAGATTTTGAAAGAGACATTTTGAGAGCAAGATTTTAGAAATTGAAATTGGTGTTATATATGCAAGCAAAAGAACAACAACAATGATTCGGTATAATAACAATTAGTAGGGCAAAGTTGACAATTAGTCATATTCCCTATAGTACATACTCCCTTATAAATACCAAAGTAACATGTAAAAACATAAAGGGTTTGACTTGGTATAGGCATGCGGTCATGAACAACACGCTCTAGACGAGCATGACAGTGACACTATGCACGTGCCCTTGTTCTCACTAGTATTTGTGTTTTAAACAAAAAGAAAAAAAAACGACGAATTCAAATGTTTTCTTTAAGAAACATAAAACCCATCATAAACAACTGGTAAGAAAACAAACATAGTTTTAAAACACTAAATTCAGATATTATCGAATCAGCAATTCTTATAATTCAGATTAAACTACAAACAGATCCCATGTTCTTAAATCATTAAACAACAAGTACACTGTTATTTGAGTTCATTATCGATTCAATAAATTACAATCACATGAACACAAAACACTAACAAGAAACTTTACTTAGTTCTTCATCAAGCGCCTTTTGAAGCCAACCCTCAGCGTCTTCCATCATTCCTGGGCTAAGCCTCACCATCAAAATACAAAATTCCATTTCATTGAGAGCTCCATCTCCATCAAGGTCTCCTTCCCTCACCATCGACTCCGCTTCCTCCTTCTTCATCCCTTCCATTCCCAACAATGCCGAGTTTCGCCGTAAACTCTCCGCTGTTATCACCCCTTTCGATGCATCGGCCAGCAGCCGAAAACCACTGCAAAGCTCGGCCACAAACACCTCAACGTCCAGCTTCTGGGCCATCAGTGGCAACAAGTCTTCGTACTCTTCAACTACTCTACTTGAGGTATGTTGATTTTGATCCATTGCAGAAGGTGATAGAGATGGAGAAATGAAGAGGGAGTTATATTTAGAGCTTCGGTGATGGATTTGTTGAAATGGCAATTGTTGATGTCAAAGTTTCCCTCAAAATCATCCAATCTTACCTGTCTATGATACCCCCAATCTTTAAATACATAAAACGGAGGATATAGAAAATATTTCCCTATGAGTGGCTAACCATCCTTTAGTTTTCTACTCCACTAGTAGGAGAGAGAAAATGTACCAAATAAAATAGTTTGAATGAGATACAAAGTGGGAGTGTTAGGTTGGGTTCAAATAATAGAAAACTTTATAAATGAAATCAAATCAACCGATAAATATTCTTCAAATTAGATGAGATGGAACCTCATTCAAATTTTGTTGTTAAATTTAAATTATAAATTTCTACTTAATATACAATTATATATATATATATATATACATAATACGCTAAAATCTTTAAGTCAAGAAGGAAACAACCCAAAAAGAAAAAAAAAATCACAATCAAATTGGTATTTATTTTATTAATATTTAATTTCATAAGTATAATTTTTTATTTATTCATTCATTATTCTTAAAAAGATAATTTTTTAAAATATATTGAAATTGAGCGGTAAATTTTAATTAAATACTTATAAATAAGTAAATAGATATTTTACTAACGGTCTACTTCTATTAAAATAAAAAATTTGAAGGAAAAAAAAGACCCTAACCACTTGAATTAATTAAATCCTATTGTTAGATTGGATTAGGTTCATGATTTAATAAGAGTTGTTAGGGATGAAGAATTTACCATTCCAATAATTTGAATGGGTCCAAAAACTTCTCAATTCCATCTAATCAACCCACGATTTGAAAATTTGAGAAGTGAAAGAGAGGATCAATTTCCTTTAGTGATACTAAAGACATTTTTTAAACTAGATGTATTGTAGTAGTTTCATTCAGTAATTTTGGATCGTGCTGATAAGAACGTAGGAAGGGACACGTATACGGGTGAAAATAATTGGAATGAGAACTAGAAGGTTCGAGGAAGTTGCATGAGAAAGAGAAAATAGTGTGTATAGACGAAATCAAGAGAGAGATGGGAATGAGATGATTGTTGATGGGAGGGTTTGGAGTTTCTTAAGAAGTTTCTTAGGAGTTTCGTTGTTTGAATTTATATGGGATTTGGATTTTATCGAAGGAGAGACATTATTGGTGTCCATTTCTGATATACTTTTTGAAAGTGACCCCTCATGGTTGAAGGCCCCACTTTTGTTCCTTCTTTTCCTTTACATCCACATGTATATAACATAGAGAGAGAGACGAAAGGAATAAAATAATTCAATGGCTCTTGTGTAAAGAAGTTAGGTTGGTTTGTAATATTTTAGTTTTTAAAAACGTTTTCGGAATACTTTTAATTTAGTCCTTGTGTTTAAGTTTAATTTGACTTACGTTTCTTTCGGTTAAGTTTCTATAATTGTTTGAATTCCATATTTATCATTTCGTTAATCTCATCAATATCACAACTAAGAACGTACATCACAAGAAGTCGAGTTTAAGAAATCCTATTATAGAATTCTCAAACTATGTAGAACAACAAAAGAACGCATCATACCAAATACTAAATGAATGGTTTGAAAAGTCACCTTAGGGGTGGGCAATGTTGCCAAAGATGGTGGATAACACCACACCAGTCTACTAGCCAGATCTTTTGCAATCACCCCACAAGAATGGTTACCCACAAGAACACATTCTTCGAATATATGATTAAATGGGGAGTTAAAAAAATAAATGGTATTGAGACTCGATTCATTTTGCAAGCACCCCACAAGAATGGTCACCATCTAGTTCATCTAGATTCACCCAAATTTTTCAGCCCGAATTGGCGATTCACCGTATTTTGTGTTGGGTTTCCTTGTGTTTGAGCCTAATTAAGTAGTTTTTCTTAGGTTTTGAGTAGGTTCGCTAGTTCTTTAAGCTTTTTGAGTGGGATTATAAATTATATGAGTTGTACATGAGTGTAACGATAGTTGTTGGTGATATTGATTATGATTAATCCAAAGCTTCTATTTACTAAAAGAAGTTTAAAATGGTTAGATTTCACTATCAAAGTAGGTGCATGTAGTGTTAGAACCCTTTACGGTTTGGTTAGATGAACCGTTAGATGCAATGAATAACAATAACATGTAACATGATGATTAAAGATACGAGTTATAGAAATTGATGATTATGTATGCCTACGTGGTGCATGTGTTGTTGTTTGTTAATACGAGACATGTGGTCACTTAAGTTAAAGATTGAACCGTCATGTATGATTAATAGGTGGTTGATGTGGTTGTTGATCTCATGAAATGTTAAAATCGTGTTAGGTATGAAATTTGTCTTACGTTGCTCCATATTACTAAATTGATGTTTTGTATTGTGGGACCGTCTAATCACTCGTGAATGTATATAATAAAATGGTGTAAAATTCATACGAATAAGTGTTAAGTATACAATATCACAAGTAGTGATTTTATAGAGAATATATTGTTGAACATAACTCTCTGTGGAAAACACTTGCACACTTTACTAAGACCAATTGAGAAGAGAGTTACAAAACACTAGAAACTACTATTTATATTGCTTGGGATTTCTTAGGATGATGAACTAAGTAGGGTGGAGGAGTATTTATACTGGATGGTAGTCAATCTATTCCTAAAATTTCTAACGTTTTTCCTAAATACCTAATTTCTCGGGATGATAACTAAGTAAGGTGGGGGTATTTATACTAATGGTAGTTCATCTATTCCTAAAATTTCTAATGTTTTTCCTAAAATACTTAAATCATTTACGTAAATTTATTCCTAAAATCCTAAATTATTTTCTTACCATATTGGACTGGCGATGATATTTTAACATTCCCTTTAGCACTAGTCCTAATTCGCTGCACCATAGCGAAAGCTCTCATGTGTGCATGTATTCGGCTCTTTTGTAGACAAGTCTATCACTTGGTCATCCGTATTCTTCCTTTAAGACTTTGTCTTTAATAAAATGGCAGTGCACCTCCACATGTTTTGTTCTACCATGAAACATCGAATTTTCTACTAAACAAATCACAGATTGGTTGTCTCGAAGTGGTATCGAATAGTCAACTTTCTGGTGCCAATCTTTCATTAGAAGTTTCAGCCATGTATATTCCTAAGCTACTCCCGCCACTACTCTGTACTCTGCTAATCTAGTTCACCATGATACAGTTGGTTGTCTTTTATTACATTAAGAAATTGTTCTCGAACTGAGCTTGAACACATACCCAGTGATTGATATTCGGATATTGTGGTCTCCTGCATAATCGACATCACTATATCCAGCTAGCTTGTAGTCTTTGCTTCTTTTGTACAAACGATCATAATTGATTGTACCTTTGACATATCTCAAGATTCGTCGAGTCGCATCCAAATGAGGCTTCATCGGACTTTGCATATATTGACTAATGACTCCAACTTCATTTTTGAATTTCTTCGATTGGTCCATGTAGAACTCTCTATTTAACTCATTGTTTAGGAAATCATCCTTCATATCCATCTGCCATAATTTCCAATCTTTATTTACCACAAGTATTGAAGGAACCTGTATGATAGTTATCTTCGCCACTGGACTAAACGTTTCATCATAGTCTAGTCCATATTCTTGAGAGAACCCTCAAGCTACATATTGAGTCTTGTATCTTTCAATTGATCCATCCGAGAGACACATTATTTCGTAAGCCCACTTGCAAGAGATGGTTTCGGATCATGGTACTAGTTCCCAAGTTTGATTTTTCTCTAGGGCTATAATTTCTTCCTCCATCACTTTTTGCTAAGCTGAGTTTTGTGATGCTTCTTCATATGTCGTTTTGTGATGCTTCTTCATATGTCTCCAGCTCATTAACGTCGTATTCTACTACGTTGGCATAATCTGGATTTGACTTTAGGATTATTTTTTACTGCCTAAGTTGTTGAGGTGTCATTTCCCTTCCACCGAGTTCACGTGACTGAGTCGCTTCTTGTTCACTAACATCAGTGTCACTCAAATCTTCAGCCACATCAGCACTTAAGCAAATCTGTACAATTTGCTCCCTAGTCTTCTGTTGTAGAATTTCTTCAATTTTCTCCCCCATCTTCTATGAAAGAATTTCTTCAATTTGCTCAAGGCCGGGTAATACTTTCTTCTCTAAGGGCCACCCCACTTCCATTGCACCACTCTGATCGTCAATCATGTAGGTTGAGCATCCCTGAATCAACGATCTAATCATTCTCATAATCGATATGGTCTCCCATCATCGCCATGAGTGTTTGGTCATCTTCTTCTATGGCATACAGTACTTCTACATCCCATTCCTCCTCCATCTCCATGTTGGAAGATGCCACATTGCTTTCGATAGATTTTTTCTTGGACCAATAATCTCTAGACATGTGGCCCTTCTTCTCGCAATTGTAGCAAATGCCCTCAAATCTTTTCCCTTGAGAACTTTGGTTGTTGTTCTTTTGAGTTCTCCCAGCTTGTGCAGTTCCTTGGTGGCTTTTTTTTTTTTTTTTTTTTATCACCATTGTATCTACGTTTGGTAGACGACCTATTATTGCTCCGACTTTCACTTGTGTAGAGTGCTTCTTCTGTGATGCCTCCCATTTGTTTAGTCCTCGCTTTTTGTCTCGCTAACAAATTTTCAAACTCTACAAGTGATGTTTGAGTGGGCCATCCTTGTACAACAATAATAAAGCTTTTATATTTTGGTCGCAATCCGTGGATTATAATCATCTTCATTCGAGATTCTACAATGGTGGATTTCAGGTCTAGTTCAGTAATCTCCTGACAGACCGACTTGACCTTGTGGAAGTACTGAGTAATCGTCATGTCACGTTGTGAAATTGACAACAACTCATTCTCCAAAAGTTATAGCCTCATATCGTTCTTCTTTGAGAACAACATCACGAACGTGTCTCATGCTTCTTTCGGTGTCTTGTCATCCCAAATATGCTCTAATATCTCTTCTCCGATTGTGATCTTCGAGGAAAACATTGTTTTGCCCGCTTTGATTCTCTATTTACGCAAGGCACCATTAGAATCATCCTCTGGGGGCGTAGTTTCGCACCCACCAACGATCTCCCAAAGATTATGTTCTTGTAAATAGGACATCATACATGTTGCCCACGTGTTGTAGTTG